GTCTGATTTTCGCTATTGCTTAAATAGCCCTATCTACTGCGAGGATCGTGCATCATACGAAGTTATTATTGTTGTCATAAACACAAAAATTAGAATCCTAAAGTTTCTTAACACGTAATACCTTTTGCAATAATTGTAGCTCAAAATACTATATCAAATTCTTTGTTACATTATTGCTGTATCTGATTTAAAAAAGAATCAGTGGTGATGACTAATAGGTTTCGATTGTAACAAGGGAAGGACACACTTCACAGCTTTCTGTCTTCCCTACTGTGCCATTCAACATAAAGCCTTTGACTGAGAGAGAGTTGCTTCCAACTTCTTTCATCCGTCTCAATACTTTGATGTCTCGATCTAAATGGCTCCACCAAGTCACTCAGGAGTCCTTCAGAGGCCTGCGATAGAGGCGTCTTACCAGGGATAGGATGTATAAGCATTAAACTAAACGAAAGACGAACTCGCCTACTCGATCAGCGCCCTCGTATTAAGGTCGGCACACACGAGGGGACTAGTCCCTGCAACTAGTCCCAGCGACCAGTTTCATGCGACTAGTCCCTTCGTGTGAACTACACATTTCTGTGGTCGCAGGGACTAAAATTTGGTCCCTGCGACCGAAAGGAACAAGATCCGGGGATGTTTTATTGTTATCACTTATGTACTACATGTATGAGGTCACATTCTGCAACAAAGACTATTTGACGCCAGTAAAAAGAGTTGGTGATGTAAAACCAGTTTACTGGATAAAGTAGTAATAGTTTTCACTAAAGCTGCTCCCGCTTTTGAAGATCTGTTTAACATCTGTATATGGTTTTTCCTGGATATAAATACTGTGCATATGAATGTTAAAAAAGAAACGTTTGAATATTTATTGAAGTTAACATCCATGTAACTGGTTAGCATATTTCTCTTTAAATTTGACAGTGAAATCTATTACATTCATACAGTTTTGTTTTGTGAAACAGCAACGTATTGTATGTATAATTACCTGCAATATATTATCCATAAATCAGTTGATATAAATGTATTTCAATTGTAAAGTTAATATTCTGTGTAACAGGAATGTATTGTACGTTAAAAATTTGAGTAATTGTTGGGAAAAATCATTATAATAACCATAACAACAACAATAACCAAACTTGCAACAATGTATAAATCTATAAAAATATAATCATCTGCAGTATATTTCTCTATAAATCAGGGAATATAAATCTATTCCAATTGTAAAATTAATACTTGGGTAACAGGAACTTAATAAATTTGTGTGTTATTGACTTGTTGGGAAAAATCATTACTGACAATAACCATTGCAACAACAATAATCAGCTGTAACCATGTACAATGTATTGGTATAAAATATAATTATCTGCAATCTATCCATTTAGGCCTAAAGAAGGAAATATAAGGTCACTACAACCATGCAATCTACTACTTCTTTTTAACCATATTTTGTATTATAATAGCATAGTTAGTTCCTTTGGAGAAATTTTTTTTAATCAGGCCAGAAATTTACCAAAAAAAAAAACTAACAAAAAGGACAAAACAAATTCGAGTGATTTTTCTTTGTCCGCGAAAAAGTTGCTACTCCATTGTTTTGTCTGTTTAATTTTGACTATTGTGCACTTAACAGAAATTGTTTCATGGGGTAAGTTAAATCGGCTTATTAAGTTTTTTAACGGTATCACTTGAAACGACTGTGGTCAGAGTGATTTTATTTGGTCCGTAAATAGTTACTACACTATGAGTTAGTATTACACACTTATTCCATAGCTTTCTTTTGTTAAGTTTTGACTATTACGCACTGATTGTTTGATATTGTTTCATGGGCCAAGCAAAATCAATCTAATATCATAAATTGTAACTCTTTTGTTAAATTTTCACTAGTGTCTGTTCAACTTAACAGTTTTTTTTTACCAGACAGTTAGCTGTTCACTTTTCCTGTGAAGTTGAGACATGGGCTTTCATACTTAGAACAAGTTTGTTGTTCTGAGAAAGCTCAAAATCTACATTTTCGAGCAACAGCAATTTGTCAGTTAGATCGTCAATGTTGTCTTTGTACTGCAAGATGTCTTCTTGGAGGAAGTTTTCCCACAATCTATGAAAATGCTGTCACTGAAAAGTGCTGGTCCTGTTTTTATAGATGAAAGTTAATGTTCATTTCAATATAGCAGTTCTTCCGGAAGCATTGCTCTGTTACAGTGTAGACAACGAACAATCTTGGACCCAGGGTTTTCACTAATTTTCTTGCTACAGTCTTTGTTGTTGCACACTGGATAGACAGTTGGGTAAATGTTCAAAATTTCAGGACAGCATACCCAGTTTGCTTGTTTGTGCGGAGGCTCCACATGGGAGATGTCGTGCTCTTGTGCTTTCGTTATCGTTGTGTTAACTGTGGTGGCAAGACGTTTTCCAAATTACTGCTTCAGTTTGCGGTTGGTCACAATGTAGAATTATAGTCTTCTATTTGCTGGAAGTGACTATCCCAGACTGATAGATTAATAGTTCCAGTGGGGTCTGTTATTTCAGCTTCTCTTACCATTTGTTTTTTTGCATGTTCTGGTTTGGAAGGTTCTCCAAGCCATTTAATGCAGCCAGAAGCAGTAAAATTCCCCGAGTTGTGGTTCTTAAGAATGGTATCCCGGGGTGTTGATGTCATTGGGGCCAGTGGTTGGAATTGAAACTGGATGGAATGTGGTGGTGCATATTGAATAACTGTTCCCTTGTTTATGAACACCATGTTGCTTGATGCAACTTGTAGGTTGGAGAGTGTTACGGGTTGCTGTGTCTCCATCTTTTGAAGAAAAAGTTGGCGCTTGGAAGACTCTCCTCTTTGCACCATGACTCTTACCAACTGAGTTTTGTCTTTTGCAGTTAGCAGGCTGATGTTAAAGTACAGATTTCTGGAGGATTTACTTTCTTGTACCTCTTGAACGTCCTGAATGTATGCAGTGTAATCTGTTAAAAAGAGAAATAATTTGTGAAAAAAATAATTAAATTCAGGACAAAAATTTAATGTTCTGTTAAGCAGAAATCTGCGTAAGTAATAGAAGACACAAGAGTAATAAATTATTAGTAGTATTAATACATTACATAATAGAGGAAACTTACTTGTAGTTGAGCTTGACAGAGGTGTTGAAGCTGGGGATTTAGGGATCCCATACTTAGCTCTCTTTGCAGGACTTGGGCTGGCAGAATAATCCATCTGTTAGCTGAGAATTGAATGATTTGTTAGTGACCTTTATTACACTGATAAAACATTTAAATGACAAGTGTATATTTAAAAATTTTTAGGTTAGAAGTTTTGATGGTAATATTTATAAATATTAAATAATAATAATAAATATAGATAGGTTTTAGCTCATAGATTTTTTAATTGTTATAATTTTGAATATTCTTGTATACGTTATATAATATATTTATTTAATTACATTATTGTAATATACGCAATTCAGCCGCAAGGCTGCTAGGTATATTTGAATAAACTATCTATCTATCTATCTATCTATCTATCTATCTATTTACTTAATTAGTGGTAGATACTGTAAAATGTTATAATGCAGTTTCACTGCAAGTTGTTTTCGTAATTATGCAAAGTCTTTTCTGCCAAAATGTTTAACCTAGCTTCTTCTAACAAACGGAATTTATAATTTGATGTCTTCTTAATTGACTGAAGTCTTTCAAAGCCCATTGGCTCAATCACAAGATCAGAAAGTTTACGTACTCTTGACAAGGCAATATAGGCTAGTCCTGCAACGTTTTCAGAAGGTCCTAAGTCTACCCATGATTTCTTAAGGGTTAGCCCTTGTGACTTATGAATGGTTATGGACCATGCAAGTTTTAATGGCAGCTGCTGTCTTTCAAGATTTAGTCCATTTGTATCATTAATATGAGATGTTACTGGAAAAATAGGCACACAATTAGGCATATTTTCACAAAAGCTTGGACCTATGTAATCGTCCTTATCAAACTGCACAATTACAGCAATTGGTAGCATGGGTGGCCTTTGATTCTGTGCAAAAATTATGTGCTTTGCAGTTCCCATTGTTCCATTAAAAATTCCTGCCATCTTTAGCAGCTTTTCAAACCACGAGTTCACATCTTCGAGCAGCGCTTCAGGGTAAGTATTTTGCAGTTCAATGATTTATTTGAATTCAAAAGCATTCAACAGCACTGAATAGAATTATTCGGTACAAAATTTTATTTAAAAAATTTTTAATACAAGAGAAAAATCTTATTTGTTAAAAAAAAAATTTTAAAAAAATTTTAGAAAAATTTTATTTGTTAGACACAAGTCAGCAACGGGGTCGACAGACTCGATCCAACAGATCAGAAAGATAAACGACAGAATCGATCCAACAGATCAGAAAGATAATGTCAGACTCAGAGTTGCATGAGATACGAAGTTTGTTATATCAATTTCCATTTGAATATGTCACTCTCGAAGATAAACAAGTCGGTGGTTACAGTTCGAAGAGGGCACTTTATGAATTCTGTTTTTATCAACCTTAGTATCAAAACTGATATCCTCGAAAATTCACACAGCAACATAACATTCACGTTTTGGCGCCTATTACACAATAACGTCGATTTTTTTTTTTAGCTTTAAAATCACGAAGACAGCTGATGGGGGGCAGTGTCAAGTAGTGAAAATTTCATAGTTTCGGCTCTTAAGTTACATTAATGTGATACAAATAAACGTTTTTCATAATAGTTGCTAATAATACTCCATCTCCAATTGCTTTTTTGGGACTGAATGCATGCACGCAGCTTTTATCCGCCATCAGTATAAGATTATCTGAGCTCCTTCTCACAGTCAACTATGTCGAAGGCTCTGGCAGGTTCGAGGTGATGTTCCGCGTGAAAGTTGAAAGAAGTAAAAATGGAGAATGATTTGTATAACAGCAAAGAACACGCAAGCTTAGTCGTGGACCTAGTTTGTATTAATAATACACATTCCTGGTGGGTTTGCTCGTTGTGGCGAACAACGAATTTTCTGCAACCGTCACTGTTCCGTCATTAACAATTTACGCATGGAAATATTTTGTACAAATTTGGTCACGTCATGAACCAAACTGATGTTGCTGATAATAAACTAAGCCTCCCGTATGTGACAACTTTGTCGAATCCATTGTGAAGATCTTGGCAAAGACGAGTTTATTCGCCAAAATGCGCATCAAACGCCACACCAAAGAGATTAGCTACTTGAAAATTCTCAGAGCTACAATACTGGTGACTATTTCATTATTACCGTGAGTTGTTTGGAACATTAAATTTCAACGAGATCGATTTTGTGAGATGGAAAAGCCACAAGGCTGAGCGAGATCGTGTAGCTTTTCACTGCCAGCCGTTTAAGATCATTATGTGGTTTATTCAGTCTACTTCCCTATGACAATTATGATAGCTTATTTTAATGGAGGGTGATTAAAACCCCTTTCTCCAACTGGTTTCAGGAAGCTCAGTTCAACGTGGAGGGTAAACAAAACAGTTATCAATAATAAATAAGATAATAATTTGAATATATCAACAAAGTTGAAATGGTAAATTGGCCACCGTTACGATTATAAAAGCTGACGTTTTGAGCGTTAGCCCTTCGTCGGAGCGAATAGAGGAATTGTGGGTTGTGTGTGCTTTTAAAGGCAGAAAATGGAGCTACGTTATTGGTGGGAACATGGCAACGAGAAAAACACGAATAAATTAGTGGAATGAAAAGCGTTCGTTGATACCTGTGGGATTTAGAGTGCCGGTTTGAAAGATGAGCTTTTGTTCAAGAGTTTTACGGCTTTCCGTGCTACCTAAGTGTGAGGAAAGACCGGAGATTGCCATATGTTGCTGAGAATGAGTAGGTAAATTAAAATGTCTAGCGACTGGTTTCGATGTGTCCTTGTCATTCCTCTCCACGTCGCGAAGGTGTTCTCGGAATCGGTCACCTAGTCTTCTGCCTGTTTCACCGATGTAAATCTTTTTGCAATAAGTGCAAGTTATGCAATAGATTACATTGGCGGAGGTGCACGTGAAGTGATCGGTGATCTTAATGGATCGTTTGGGTCCTGATATTTTCTCAGTGTTGTGAATGAAAGGACACGTTTTGTATCGTGCACGAGCGCATTTAAAAGTGCCTGGTTGCTCATTAGTCTGAAAAGAACTTTTGTCGCGTTTGAATGAAATGAGCGGAGGCTGCGAAAACATAGTGCTTGTCTCTGGATCGTTTTGAAGTAACTTAAAGTTTTTAAGAATGATGGATTTAACTTAGTGGTTGCGAGGCTGAAACGTGAGAGTGAATGGAATGCGGTCGGAATCTTCCTTTTGTGACGCTTGTAGTGCTGAATGTCGTTCAATAAGTTGGGCGCGGTGGTAACCCGCTTGAACGACAGAAACAGGGTAAACGTGGTCAATTTACCATTTCCACTTTGTTGATATATTCAAATTATTTCGTTACCCCCACCGACGCAGCCCCAAACAGTTTCTTTAGAAACTATCAGCCTTTATTCAATAAATAAGATAAGCTTCCTACTGATCGCAGGTAACAGGCGACGACAACCAAATCTGTTTGCTGTGTGTTTGTCAAGTATCTGCGAACGCTTCGTGGCTGACTCAGTTTGTCTCTGTGACCCTCAATGTATTCCTGGTGTTCGTGGTGGTGAACAGAGACTTTTGTGCAAGAGTTTTAGGAACTCAAGTGGGTAAGTAATACTCTTCCAATGAGCTTCTCTATATTTTTCGTTTCTTTTGTTTCTGCATCAACAATTTCCACCTGCAAATGTTTCCTAACAGATTTTGCCTTACTCCGTCATGTCATCAACAAAACTGATGTTTTTGACGATTTCGAGTGTCACCTAGAATGTATTAGAAACAGACGTTGCAAGTCGTGTAATGTTAATCCCAATGGCAATGATGCGGGTAAGCGTGTTTGTGAGCTGAATAGCAAAACCCGACATATGACGCTAGGTGATTTTAAACTAAAGAAAGAATCTACGTACTATGGCTCATTTCAGGTAAGTCAGAAGTTTAGTTTTCATATGCTTATATTCATTTCGAATGCAAGTGAGGCTAGAATTTGTATCAATTCATCCAGGGTAATTGTGTCGATGTTTCTCATGAACCGCGAGAAGAACAAACAACGGCAGTTCAATGTCATCCCAGATACAGAGGAAGATGGTCTCAAAGACGTAAGTACCGTTAAAACTTTTACACGGCAAATAATCATGGCAAAATGCATGTTTATTTCCTTTTTAGTGATTGGATCGATTTTGTATATAATCCTTATATACTGGCCTCTATATTATTCCCGCATGATTTCAAGGTTAATAGTAAAAGCGAGGAAATAAGCGCGACTGCCATCCCGCCCGACTGTAAGGGTTTCATTTTGTAGGGGAAAAGTTCCATTAAGATTACGTTTTCTTTTAAAGCTTTAAACTTTTGCCTGTAAATATATGAATGAACATTTCGACGGATGAAAAATACTTAAAAAGGTTTTGCGTTTCCTCAGGCAGTTTTAAATTTGATTCAGCCTCACCTACTCAACTTGGTATACTATTTTATTTCAACTTACCTGGCGCATTTGAACATTATAGTGGAATTGGCGCAAAACAATGTAAAGAAAGGGTTCCACCATGGAGATTTTCAAATCAAGGTTCCTTTTTAATTGTTTATGGTAGCTAAGAAAGGCTGGAGTTCCCAGCATCCTGCTCGCTCATGTAAGGTGATCCGGGACACAGAAGACTTCAAGGGAGATGGGGAGTACTGGATGGACCCCGAAAACAACGAAACCCTTGAAAGGTGTACTGTGACATGACAACTGACGGAGGTAGGCTATTCATGAGAAAAACGTAGTTCTAAGACAATAGTTATTCAGTGCTTTGTTGAAATTGTGGTAACAAAAGTCAAATCTCATTTAGCATCGATTAAAAGGCATGTAGACCTACAGAGAATTAACTTAATCATGACAGGTTTCTGAAAGAAGGGTTTAAAGGTGCGATAAATCAATAAAAGCAAGAGCATATAGAAATAGAACATATTTACGCTGAGGACAGTATTTTTTTCAGGAGGTTGGCTTCTTGTCGCAAACTTAGTAACGGACGGCTCCACTTCTCCCCCAATCAGGACCGCTGAGTCATCATACCGCGGAATCAGCAACTTTGCCAACAACAAAAAGGGTATTATAACGACTGTCATGAAAGAACTCAGAACACACCTGTCTTTCACTCAGCTGAGATTCCACTGCAGCAAACAACACGGACGTACCTTCCACGTTACTTCGGCTGTCAACGCCCTCGGTGAAGCTGTGGCCAAGTACTTCAGTGGCCAGACAGACGGTGCTTCCCGTCTCATGCGGGTCTTTTCAAAGAATGGGGAATGACAACTCTAAGTTGGCCATCGAGTGTAAGGACTGGGGATATGAAAACAAACAGAAACATGTGGGAAAATGGGGACACTCTCCTATAGAAAGAGAGTACAGATTATATATATACACTGCATTTGTTTCGTATAACTATCACTGGTTATTTCTTGACAACTACTGGTATTGTGATGACGCGACAAAGGACACCAATTCGACGGCAGGAGATTTTTTTGGAAAATCTACCTACGCTAAATGAATAGAAAAAGTGGAAAATTTTTCGATCGAGTGTCGAAGCAATGTTAAAGTGCAAGGTTTCTTTTATGACTGATAGAGGCGTCGTTATCTCTACAGTAAGTGATCAATCACTTTATCACTATTTATCCCAAGGGGGAGGGGAAAGAAGTTTGGTGGCATCATGTCACATGGTTTTCAGCTTGAATGGAGGAGGCATCATTTGTCATAAATAAAGTATAAATTTTTTCGAGACGTAACAAACACAATCAGATTCCTTCGACTTCTCCCCCACCCCCTCCCCCTGCGGTAAAAAAAATTAATCGGTCCCTAAATCATGTTACATAAAATTAAGCTCTAGCTTGATTTTGAAAAAAGTAGTTTTCCTGAATTTAGTCTTTATGAACTTGTTTGTTAGCAACGAGAGCCAACCATTCTTTTACATTTCCTTAAATCTTTAGCAAAGAAAAAGAAAATACAAAATTTGCTCCAAACCTTGTCAAAATAGTCAAAACAAATGGAGTAGCGGGGATGGGAAGGAGAGAACATCTGTCACAAGCCATTTGAAGGTGATTTTGTGCGACCACTTGAAAACCTAAATATGGTTTTTCAATTTCAAAAAGCAATTTTGAGTAGTAAAGATAGAAAAAAAAAATCTCTCTGTTAAGAACAGACAGAATAAGTCATAAAATATACAAAAAAAAAAGAAAACAAAACAAAAGAAAAGGAACGGACGGACGGACATACAAAGTGCAAGACATAAGTAAACGATTCTTTAAGGATTTCGACTTAACCAAAGTTATTGGCCATCACCAAAAGGTGATCATAAGGGGATCGACTGCCACTGTTTACCGACTAATGTGGAAAACTGAGAAAACCAATTTTATCATTGACTTATTAACGGCGCTTCTTTTTGTTGATATGCTGTGTATTTCTCTAGTACCCTTTGATGATCAGGTTTCTATTTCTCTTAAGATTTCCATTCAGATTAATATTTGTCTGTTTATTCGTTTCGCAATGGATATCGTGTTTTGACGAGTGAACTGAATGATTTATTTGGATGCGCCTTCCTAACAACAATCTTGTCGTGGTAGTAGTTGAAATACGCCAGGCAAAATTGAACTGAAATCATTAGCTTGATTTGAAAAACGAACAAGCGCAGCGCACACTGATAATTTTTTGATCAAAGTTTCACGACACAAAGTCCAGTTTCTCCCTTGTGTTACATGCACTTTGTAAAATGTATTATATCGATTAAACTCCCACTTTTATCATTATATTAGTTTCAGTATATTAGTATGAATGTAATCTATCAATTATTGATTGTTGCTGTAAAATCATTTCGTTGAGCTCTTTTGATCAGTTTGTGTAGAAAGTAATAATTATTTACTCGCAGTTATCTCTGTCACTTTTTAAAAGTGACAGGAATAATGATATAGTGGCACAAAGAATAATGATTAAAAAAGGTTAAAAACCGATGCTGTCTCGGCTAATCATATTCCAGGGCATCTATATGTTGTGCATATCTAGCCGGGTACGAAGGCCGCCCTGGAAGTTTTGAGTTCGAAGGCTGATATTTTCATAGTATTATTCCAAGCATGCTATGTTAATAAAAAGTCTTATTAAGTGGCAAGGTAATCTTGAGATTGATAATTTAATAAGAGTGTTCAGGTTGATTTTTTTTCGTAACCGGGATTTTAGCTGAGAAACCGTTTCCACGGAAACCGTGTTCTTGAAATTGCCACGCGCTGAACTTATCAGAATTCAGTGTAGTATTAAATTAGCTGGTGAACGATCCAGTCGTGGGGTCTTTCTAATCCTTTTTTTTTATTCAAAATGATCGCAGTTAACGAAATAGTAGATTGGAGGTTTTTCCCTTTTTTAACCAACTAAATATACCAACCCGTGGACTCTTACAGATTGATTTTACGACTCACTTGACATTGTTAAGATTGCAAAGAGGTTTAAATTCCCCAACGAACAACGCAAGAGCATTTTGGGATTTTGAGTGGGGCATACCCTTAGTATAAGATGTCCCACTTATCACCGCCTTTGAGCAGCAAATGAATATGAAACCTATTAAACTACAGATGTTTTATTATTCACTGGCAATTTTTCGTGTAAAGAGTGCGTATACTAATCAAACGGCGTGGTGTGGCGGGGGAAAACTTTCTTCTAAACATTTTGTATTTTTTAATGCTAGTGGGTTGGGTTAAGTCATTTATTGAGATAAGGAGTAAGTTTCTAAAGAAACTGTACTAGGTAATCTGGTTTTATCTACTAAGTTGGCAATGTAAACTGGCCACCGTAAAGGTTAAAAGCTGACGTTTCGAGTGTTGGCCCGTCGTCAAAGCGAATGGACGAATTCGCATCGTCTATGTGAAACTCATTTTTCTTTAGAGACATACATACATACAGTTTATTAAGCATCCCCAAAAAGGGCTTTTCAGTGTCAATATTAAAAAGAAAATGAAATATAGTAACGAATACGTATACATTAGTTATATCGCTAATTCATAAAAACTATGTAAAAACTATCTACAAAAATCACTAAATGATAACTATATGCAATGATTATCATCTAACCTAGTTCATGTCACAAATCAGTTCTTTGATTACATGTCTCTTAAAAGCTTTAGTATTTGTTATTTCCCTCAGGTTTTTGCTTAAAGGGAAAGTACGGTCTAGAAAAAGTTTACTTACAACAAAAGTTCCTTGATTGCATTGTCATAACTGGTTATTCATTTGAGCTATAGGCGCTTTAGTTACGAGCAATTGCGTACCAAAAATCGGCATTTTCAAATTGAAATCTGCCATCTTTGTTATGACGTAGCAATAGTCAAAGATGCTAATTTATATCCCTGCTGAAGTGGATGTAAACAAGGAGGACAGCGGTGAAGGGGGCGCCACTTATTAAATTCTCTACTTGGATTTTAATCTAGCCGAGAGGATGTAATACACCCATTTATGTTTCAAACGAAACATGACTGGTGTTCAGGGGAAGGAGATACTTCTGTTGGGGAAAAGAAGAGAGAGAGAAAGTCAAGAAAATGAATTTCAAGAAGAAACGTCGACCCGCTCAGTCGCTCAGTCACTCGTCTTGGAAATCGCGAGTGGTTCCGCAACTGTCAAGAGAAACCTACGGAAAACGAGAATGTATCCTCTTAAGAATTAAACGTACTAGGACACCGACTCAATTTGGAAAGCAAAGGTTTTTTCTTCAAATAAATCCTCGTTCTGGAGTGATAGTTATTTGCGAAAGAAGACCGCAGTGCCCGCTATGGATTCATCATCACATTGCTACTTCGGAATGAGACGAACTATTTTTGCAGTTACAGGAACCCAGCTTCGGTGTATAAATGAACACGAGCCGTTCGGAACTAAGATCAGCCCCAGTTGGCACGCAACAAGTTAGAAATGATAGACTTAAAGATCACTCTTCGTATGCGTTAACACGAACAAAATTGATTAGAAACACTTAGTTGTCAAATATAACGCAGGCAGAAGGCAGAAGTTAATTGTTACGAATTCAATTTTGTTTGTTTCAGCATTTTTACATTAATTTGCAAAGGTTATTTTATCTTTATTGCTAATTAAAATTAGCTTCAACTCAGTATTCTTTATAAAAAAATGTTTGAAATGTGAGAAGTAGAGCATTGTTATTTTCGACGCACGCCGGAAAGTCGCCTCTATCATACAGTGTTTACATTAGACATTACTTCAATATAAATGAAGCTAAAATGAAACTTTCCAATTCTTTTGAAAGCATAAGCACTGCATAATTACGTCAAGTAGTTGGTTGGAAGACATAATTTTAAATTATTTTAATCGTGTCCAATCGATATATGATACAGTGAAATATGAACGCCTGCCTAACGAAGGATAATTTGTATTTGTCGCAAACGTGTCTGTCTTGATAATTTGCCAGCGAAGTATTAAATGTCATTTAATTTTTATTCGCAGGAGAATGTGACTGGTGGCGCAAAGAAAATTTACACGGTGAACTCAAACAGACTTGGGAAAGACCAGATGTATTTGTACACCGCTTGGAAAAGCGCATGATTTTGGAAATCGGCTTTGGTCAAGGGTTGCGACTGAAAATTTACCACAAACAATATACTACCATTTTGAGCTTCAATTTATTTGCTTAAAATAGAATGCTTTGAAAAAACTCATAGAACTGAGATTTGTGTTCAATATGGAAAAGGTAAGTATAGCTTTCAGTTCGAAGCGAAGATCAACAAGGAAAACTTACATGCTTGTATATATATCTCGCTGGAAGTCTTCGTCTTTTGAATTTTAGTATGTATTTTGACATTCAACCACAGGACGTTTGACCTCATATCAACTGTTAGGAGAAGTAGAAATTGTTTTCACAAAAGGTCAAACTGGTCAACAAGAGCAAAGTGCCGAACTAGTTTGACTATTGCTACGTCACATTGACGTAATATCCAAGATGGTGTTTTTCTAACCACGAAAGTTATAAAAATGGATAACTTTGAAGCGCTCTTGTGGCTGATACGAAGCAAACTAGACAAAATGGCAGTTATTTTCGAACTCCTGAGGAAAAAGTCTTCTAATTGTGATAAACCTTTTCTAGACCGTACTTTCCCTTTAAGTTATTCCATATTTTCACGCCATGGTAATAAAAGGCGCGTTGGCCAGCAGTGATTCTACAATGTGGGATATTGAGGCTGTTTCTATACCTTGTCTGCCTGTTGTAGCTCGAGTTGAAAATTTTTCCGACAAGTAGCTAGGTGACAGTCCTTGAGGACATTTATGAATCATAACTGCATCATCGACCATAAGTCTTTGTTTGACATTTAGGCATCGGAAGTGATCTTAGACCTGCAGAAATATGGTCATGCTCGCGAAGCCCCAAGATAATCCTGCTTGCAAAATTTTGAACACGCTGAAGCTTATGGATGCTAGTCGCTGAGGTATTGCTCCAAACTGAGGAGCAATAAAAAAGCCGGCTGAAAACAAAACCGTA